CGGGTCTGGCTGGCATGTGGTGCTGGGGGATCGAACCGCGGTCCCTGTGCTTTGCCAAGCTTGTTTCAAGTAGGTGCTTTAGACCACTGATCCATCTCTCCAGCCCCTCCCTCATGAATTTAGATGTAACAACTGTGAACAAAATTGTCGCAGATTGAATGCAAGGATGGATCTGTGTATATATTCAAGGTTTTGCCTTGTAGCACAGTCAGACCTTGAACTCACAGCTATCCTCATGCCTCATTCTCCCATGTGCTGGAATTATATGTGTGTGCCATCACACATCTATAATTGGCTTAAATTCAAGGATCTATTAAATGGATAATAATGTACATCATGATCATGTGGGGTTTATCTGAGTAACGCAAGTTTGTTTTGTTTGCAGTACTGAAGATTGATCTCAGGGCTTTCACTACACCCTCAGCTCTTTTTTATTTTTATTTTTTTTTATTTATTTATTTTTAATTTATTTATTTATTTATGTGTGTGTGTGTGTGTGTGTGTGTGTGTGTGTGTGTGTGTGTGTGGCCAGCTCAGCCCACCAGGGGGCGGCGCTGGCTGGCATGTGGTGCTGGGGGATTGAACCGCGGTCCTTGTGCTTTGACTAAGCTTGTTCTAATTAGGTGCTTTAAACCACTGAGCCATCTCACCAGCCCCTCAGCTCTTTTTTAATTTTAGTCATGGTCTTGTAGAGTTGCCCAGGCTGGGCTTGAATTGTCTGCTAGTCTCCCAGAATGCTGGGTTACAGGTGTGTCCTTCATGCTTACCTGGTAATGTAAGTTTGGTGTAGCATTCAAAAGGCAAATCAGGGCCAGCCAAATAGCTCAGAGGATTAAAGGGCCTTCTTAAGCAGACACAGGGGCCAGGAGTTTGATCCCTGGGCCTGCTGTGCCAGCCCCACCCCGGAGCATGCTGAGATGAGCGATTGAGACTTGGCATGGTGGCATGCACCTGTAATCCCACCATTTGGGAGGCTGTAAACAGGAAGATCATTATGAGTCTGATGTACACAGTGAAACCCTGTACACCCTGTCGTAACTGTACACTCTGTCTTAAATACAAAAAAAAAAAAAAAAAAGTTCAGGAAAAAAAAAGTCAAATCAATAAGCCCAGCAGTGGTAGCTCATACTTGGAAGCTGAGGCAGGAAGATTGAAAATTATAGGCTGGTCTAGACTACATAAGCAAGACTCCATTTCAGAAAACAGAAAAGTCTGTCACTATAATTTGCCCATTAACAATTTTTTTAAAAACCCATGTGATTACTTTGGTACTTGCATAGAAATCATTTGAAAGCTGGGCACGGTGGTGCATGCCTATAATCCCAGCATTCAGAAGGCTGAGGCAGGACTGCCAAGACTCTGAGCAGCCTGGGCTACGTGGCTAGTTCAAGGCCAGCCTGAAGCACATATCAAGAGCATGTCTCAAAAAACTGAAAAAAAATTTAAAAAGTATTTGACATTTGTTCTTGATAAACTAGAACAACCAAAACTTTCAGCAGACTAAGAATAGACAAAAACATCCTTCTCCTGAAGCATCTATAGATAGTAACATCATACACAGTGATGAAGCCATAGCTCTCCCCTAAGATTACAACCCAGAGGGGATTGTCTGTGCTCTCTTCTCTTGTCACCATCTTTCTCATGGGTCTGAACAGTGCGGAGGCATCTAGGCTGGATAGGCAGAAGTAAAAGTAAATTTGCAGATGACATAGAACTCAGCCAAGCTGTTCAGGAACAATGGACTCAGGAAATAGGCCTCTTGGACACCCTGTCATAGCAGGTTCCTTGAAGATACAGACCAGCACAGAAATCAAGAGGGGAAGAGTAGAGGCTTACAGAAAGAATGACCCTTTCCAGGGTCAGTGGCAGCAGCGCAGAGCCCATCCTGGGAGCTGGGGGACAGGCGATCAGAGCATGAGGAGAAGCCCTGTAGGCTGTACTGGACAGCATTCAAACACAAACAGAGTAGAGGCTGCAGTAATGACAAAGGTGGTAACCTGTAGGCGAGGCAGCCTTGTATGTGAGAAACTCTCTGAAGTAAGGTTTGGATTTAAGTAACAAGTATATATTCGTGACATCAGGAGGAAGAAAGAATCCATTTCTTTTTTTTTTTTTTTTGCGGAACTGGGGATTGCACTCAGGCCCTTGCACTTGCCAGGCAAGCACTTATTCTACTGAGCCATCTCCCTGGCCCCCATTTCATCTTAATGTTGGAGGAAGTTTTTTTCTAAAAGAACTCAGAAATTAAATGCCTATATCTTGTACTCTGAGTAATCGATTTAAAGATAATGACGATATGCAATGTATTAGCCACTGTTACTCTCCTATTACCTTGCTTGGAATTTTTTTTTTTTTTTTTTTTTTTTTTTTTTTTTTTTTTTTTGCGGAACCAGGGATTGAACTCAGGCCCTTGAGGATCTCACTACTAGATCAGACTCGTGATTTGCCTGTTTACAGCCTCCCAAGAGCTGGGATTACAGGCACATGCCACCACACCCAGTCTCAGTTGCCGTCTCAGTGCACTCCAGGGGCAAGGCTGGCATGGCAGGCCCGGGGATTGAACTCCTGGCCCCTGACCTCCTTGGAGGTGCTTTAATCCACTGAGCTATTTGGCCAGCCTTTTTTTTTTTTTTTTTGTCTTTAAAATAAAAAATAAGGCTGGAGAGATGGCTCAGTGGTCTAAAGCACCTACTTAGAACAAGCTTAGCAAAGC